TTATAAATGATACTCATATGCCAAAAGCTATTTCTGCAATTTGAATTCAGAATATTTGTTATTCAGATAAGCTCAGTATCAGTGCCAGAGGAGGTGCAACCACACCATGGGACAGAACTTAGGGGAGGCAATATTTTTTAGAATTTAGAGAAGCACCAAGTAAGAAATTCAAAGGATGGCAAAATCTTTAGAATTTAGGCAAAGCACTGAGGCGCAAAATTTATGGGTAGCAAAATTTTAAGAATTTTGGAACTTCAGAGACTGCACCGGGCCACAGAGCATCTTGTGCTGGTCTGAATAAGCTTTATGTATATGTGGGAATTTATTTATTCAGAACTCAGATAAGCATGTGAGGAAAAATAGGTGAAAGTATAATAAATAACTAAACTAATATAATTCAGATTTAACCCTTTGCGGCTCAGTGTACCACTACATGGAACACCCAAATTGAATCGCTTCTGAAACCTTTAAATTCAACCGTAAATAGAAAAAATGCTTTATATATACTTTGAACTTTTCTTTTTAAACAGTAGATAGCAGCATATCACAAGGAGAGACAGAATTTTCATTATTATGTGTTATTAAAATCACTTTTTTCAAGTAATTTTCTCTATTTTTTAATGATATAAAAATTTTATTTGGAAAAAAATTATGCATAATTTTGCTGGCTGTACTCCAAATTATTTGTTCTATATTTTTTTTAATCTTTCATACAAAAACCATAAGCAGAATCATTGAACAAAACCGGGTGTTCCATTAGCGGGAACACTGCGCCTTTAGCGATCTCATGCTGTTACGAATCAGAACATCTGTGCTTAGGAGAGAACATCCCTTGTTTACGTTTTCTGTTTCCGTTGTTTTGGGGGGGGGAATGAATTCAAGCAAAGCAGTATTGAGGGGAGAAGTTTGTGTTTTGTGTGATGAAAGCCTTAATATTGGCATCTCAAATTTTTTGGGAGTAATTTTTAGGTGGGAATTTTATTAGTAGCTTGACTCATCTTTACTTAGACCTGTGCAAATTTTTTGCTGCCGCCTTTTTAGTCTCATTCCCGTTTATTTTCAATAATTGTGTAGATATTTTTCGTGTATGTATATATTATAGGCTTATTTTTCTTTATTGCTAATATTAATCATAGTTGGTTTGTGTTTCCATCAAAAAGGTGTGACTTGCTTTGAACAATTTCACAAAGCTAAGAAATAGGAAAATTTATAAATATTTTTGTATATAGGACTTGTGTATATAGATATTTATCTCATTTATCCATATATATTCAAGAATATTATGTATATCCTAGAAACCATGTATACAGCCATAATACAGAGTTTTTTCATTCTTATACAAACGCTTCTACTCATTTTCGTGCTTCACTGCAATGCTCACTTAGACGCACTTTTAAAAGCTCCGGCGGCGCAGTGTTCCACCTCATGGAACACCCACAGAATTAAAACAGTTAAGTGCAATTTTTACAAAATTTTACCTGTATATTCCTTTAGGACTAAATAGACTGCATACAACTTTTTTTGTTGAAATTCCAACGTTAACGTATAGTGCGCCGCAAAGGGTTAACTGTGTTAGCATGCAATAGAAGCAAGAAAAAATTTAGCAGAACAACAAATCCTTAGTTGGGAATCTCATGATACATTGCCAATAGTGTACATTGGACGTTACCTAAGCTTTATAATGGCAGCCTCAAATTTGAAGTTTTTCAGATTTCGCAAATAAAAAGCAAAATTTTCCATAATGGACTTTACAAAGGCACATGAAGAAGTAATAATAAATGAAGAAGATATAGAAGCTTTTCATTGCAATTACAGTGCTTCAATAATTAATCAACTAAATGACAAAAAAATCTGTAGTATGGCTCTAAATCCAAAAAACAGCACTACCAATAGTGAAGAAAGTAACAGAGAGATTGCTGAGAAGGAAAAATGTCAACTGACAATTTAATGAGAATTCTGGACACCGCATTTGCAAAGAACTTAAACAATGGAACATTATAACTGAACAAGAAATTATAGAGAAAGAATTAACACAAAAAAGAAGCAATTTAAATAACTGATAGAAATATTTAATAAAGCAGACTGGGCTTTTTTTGTAAATTTTGATTCCTGTAAAGTCATAGATGCTTTATTATTTCAATTTTTTAATTTTATAATTTTTGCATGTCATATTTACTACATTAAAACTGATGATCTAATATCTGAAAAAATCTCAAATCCAGAATTGCCGAAGTCCCAACGCGTTCATATCTCAGACTTTGAACAACACATACACACACACATTCATATCAATAAAAAGAACTTAAAGCATCTAATATTAAGCAAACCACAGTCAGCATATCATGAGTAATGTCAATTCGCACTGCTTGTCAGTAGTTGCATTAATAATGTATTATATATATTAAAAAATATTTAGGACTAAATAGCTCTTGAATAACTGATCATTGACTCATGTTTCCAGTTTAAGAAATGAAACAAACAAGGTAGGTTTTAAGACTACAATAAATTTGCTAATATACCATATTTAAGTAAAAAATGTTAAGAGTTTTTACACAGCCCCCTTGGAAAGCAATATGTCAATGAGAAGAAAAATGCTTCTGATAATCTTTCACCAGATTAAATCACATGGAAGCCTAAGGAATTCAAAATTTTTGGATATAACATATAAATAGATCTAAAAAACAACTAGACATATAACTTTTTAAATGCAGATTCCTGACAAATATCTTAAATTGCAAGGATTAAATATCTTAAATTTTAAGGATTCCAAACTCCTATTTGTAGAAAAACTAAAAATAAAATTTTTATTTAATGTAACTGCATTTTTATGTGGTTTTAAAAGAAATTTATTTCAATCTCCCTTTTTTAATTTAAATCAGTTGGAAGCAAGTCATACAATTTTAACAAACTTTTCTAGATCAAATTTTTTTGTGTCACAAAAACAGGCCTTTTTTAAAATAATGTTTAGAAAATAAAGAACAATTCACCAATTGAAACTCTCATTATAGGTGGCACACGCAAAAATTTTAATTTAATTTATTTTTAATAAAAGGTGCAAATGAGACTAAAAGTGTTGGGGATAGAGGAAACCTGCTTTAACTAACTACTTAAACTCGAAACATGAATCAACAAAAACCATTTCAGGAGATATAGTTATGTACACTTCTTCACATTCTTCTTATATATATATATAAAACGCCTACGGGGAAATAAAAAAAACGCCTGTCTGCCTACGGGGAGAAAGGTAAATACGGTATTATTATTATACTAATTGCTTATATGACTAACTTAAAATAGTTATTATAAAAAAATATGATTTTTAAATCGTTCATGATCAACGTCCCGAATGTGCAATGCAATGATTCTACTCTTACCAGCCCAGCATCGCCTCTATGCGGATAGCTCTGATCAATCTCTTCAACCCAGTGTCGCATATGCATAATTTGAAAATGGAACGATTTATTTGAATTTTTAAATGGAAATATATGGTGCTAAATGGTAACGGTTTTCACATCGGTTGAGACACATGGCTTTTGACCTACATGTATGGACATCAGTTTCTGTTCTGTACTTCTAGTTTTCATAGATTTATTGATGTAAACAAACTGGAAATCACAGCTTTTAAATTAAAGGGTCACTGGCGTTTTTGTTCATTTCGTTAATTTTTTTTGTTTTTTTGTTTTTGCTCTTTTTTTTTTTTTTTTTTCCATTATTAGAATGTGGGGAAGTGCATCCAGCTCAATGTTTTCATTTATGCTATTTGTTTCTTTTGTTAGGAGAATGTGGGAAAACGCATCTAACTGAATTTTCAGGGGTAACATCGCCGAACTTCCGTGATGAAAAAACTCATACCTGTTGTCTTTTTTTATATTTATTTTAAAACTTAACATAGGCTTTCTTGGTTAATTAAAAAGAAATGTTACAGCATTATTACAGAAGGGGAAAGACATCAGCTTTCCTGATGCGTCTTACTCACTCAGCATTTCTCAGGAAAATGTCGTCCTTGTTCTGTGTGCCTATCTTCGTTTTGAATTATTTCACACACAGCAGAATTTTTAAATTGGAGTTTAATTACCTATGGATAATTATTGCTTAATTTTCTTTAAATTTCGTATTTATATTTTTGTTTTTATGTGTATGGTTATAATTTTAATATTTTGGATGTTTCATTTATTTCTATTAATATGATATTCTTTATATTAATACATACCAAAAATTAGCATATCAAATATAATTTATAAATTAATACTTTATAAATTGAGTTCATTATATTAAAATACTGATTTTATATGAATTTTTTTTTTGTAAAATTAGGCTTAACTGCTGAAAATGTATGGACCAGTAGCCATTTAGGAAGACCATCCATTTAGGAAGGTCGCTACTGGTCCATGCATTTTACTGGTCCATGCATTTCCATCCATTTAGGAAGGTTCGGTCCCTTGACTGTGCTTCGTTCTCTGCACAACAAAAAATATAAATATCTCAAAATGCTTCTGAGTAATTTGTAATGCAATTACTTTAAGCAATGAAATAAGGTGGTGGATTTTTATTTTACAGTACAACAAAACTAACAAAATCTTTTGCTAATAATCTTTAACAAAATCCTGACACAATGCAAAAAAGTATTAATTAATTATAAATTGAAGTAATTTTAATGCTTGAGAACATAAGAATGAAAATTAATTTAATACAATTTCTTTGCTAAAAACAAATATTTCATATATGTAATAACAACAATGTAATCTTACAAAGCTCCAAACGGCTTAACTACAGCTCTGTAATTATTCAATAAAATAAATTTATGACATTTCATGTTGTCAAGAAAGATAAGTTTTCATTTTCAATCTTACAATACAAAGAGTGCATTCTAATAAATATAAATCATTATTTTAGCTCTGCTATTTTATATAAAACATTTACTTATTTTTACTAAATACTATTTTATCTTTTTATTTAAATGCAATTTACAGTTTTTTTTTTTTTTTTTTTTTTTTTTTTAGTCCCCAAAGAAGAACAAGTAATGAAATACAATGAACTCTTTATCTAAAAGCACTTTTCTTTTCATCAAACAAAGGAAAAAATAGTTTAATCTGAATTCATAAAAGCATATGAATGTGTATCACTGTGGCTAAAATGGAAGTGGGGAAGGAAAAAAAAAAAAAAAGAGTTTCACTGTACTTAGAACTTCTGGATTGAAGTAAGTAGAAGAGAAAAAGAATGAAACTGAAATTATATTAAAATAAATCAAACAAAAAGCATTCTATAGTTGTCAATTATTAACATGTTTCCAAAACACATTATTTTTTCGAAATTTCTGATTAATACTAAAATCAAAATCTAAAAGTACATCTTTAGTGAAATGATCGATTCAAATAGACTTCCTCCATCATAAAATTAAAATATTTAAAAAAGAACTTATCCAATTTGTAGCTCTTTAAAAAACCATTTAATTACAATGAAATGCTAAAGAAGAAATTCCTAAATCTTATTTTGTTCAGCTAAATTAAGACTCTTTTTTGCAAACTGATTTAAAATTACATTTCTGCATAACAACTTTCATTATCAAATTTAAATATAACTTTTCTTTTTACATATAAATGAACATTATGATGTTTATTAGTCTTCATACAATTTACTAATTTTAATCAAATTTTTACATCAATGATTTTAAAATAAAATTTACAATAATTTTGCACCTTTGTGGAACTTGCCAAATTTTCAAAATGCACAAAACTCTGGCAGCGAAACAAAATCTTGCTTGAATGGTTTCTTGATCATTTTTTAGGATAAATACTTAATTAAAATGTAAAATATGTTAATAATATGTATACATGTTATTTTTCTTATTATACAAGTTATCATTCTTTTTCTTGCACAAAATTCTTCAAACTGAGCCAAATTGGATGCACTAATATGTAAGTACAGAAATTTCTGGTGAATATTGAAGTATGTTATTCATTACATGCTTCTTCCTTTTAAAATTTCTTTCTTCACTATACTATGCATAATTACAAATTAAAAAAGAATTAAATATTGCATATTTATTTGCAATGTGTCCTGCTTATGTCACTGCCTTTATGGACAACTTCATGTCAATGCCTTTATGAACTTTTGAATCATAGGTGACCAAAGTCCATTTCTCATTAATTATTGCATATTTGTAGATAAATTTCAAACACTGATAACTGACACTCTTTTGCTACCAATAACAGGAGCTTTATAAGATGATATGATTTGCAAAGTTTTAGAAGGGGATGCACATAAAAAATATGGAAATAGAAATACATGTTTCTTTTTCAGGTGGTATTTTAAAGTGCATATAATTTAAGACTTATGTACAAATTTATGATTAACATAATGAGAAATAAATAGCAGATACAGATTACTTTTTATATCTGTCACATGTCAGAATTTTGTCAAACTATGTGGATCTTCAACACTACAACATGTTTATACTAAATATATTTATTACAGAAATTCCTTTTATCTAGTTAGCAAAATACATGAAAACATTTACACAATCTATCAAAAAAATATATTACTTATTCAATATAAAGGTCATAACAAGTCTTTGATATAAACATTTCGTCTTACAGCATTGCTATAACCTTCTTTAAAACGAATCCAAACCTCTTCTCTGGGATCACCTTTAACTTAAAATACATTGATTATTAAAATAATGAATGAAAATTTAATTTAAAAATGTGCAAAAAGAATATGTCATTTATTGAAAAACATTTTCAATATTCATGTAATCGAAAACTACAAAATGTATTTCTTTATTTATAGTTAAATGCATTGCAAACACTAACGGATATTCAACTTAATTTATTAAATTGAAATCACTTTCGGCAAACTGCTCCATACGTTAATTCATAAATTTTATGATATATATATATTATGATACAAACAATACAGTTATGAACATTGAATAGTACTTGCATATAATCACAACCAAAGCTTCAGAATACATCAAAACAATTACGTAACAATTATTTAGGCCAACATCCACATGACAAATATTCAGTTTCCAATGTTGTCATTTTCATAGGCATTCTTTTTGTTGTATTTCAAGTTCCAATGGCTTTTGTAGAAAAATTATGATTATTTTTGTCTTAAATTTGATCTTAAAATTTATGCTTCTCAAATTTTCTCATAACAGAAGAGAGAGGTGAAATGGCTACAGGAATTCATTACACTGTTGTAAAATTGCCAATGGAACAATGCTTTGATTTCTTCCTTTGCAAATGCTGCAAAATTTTAACCACAACAAAAACCAATTTATAACTAGTTTTACTGATTGCCTTTAGGAATAAACAAGTAGTTGAAACTTGGAATATGTATGTAATAATATGTATGTAAGCAATATATAATTTTTTACAATTACAGTAATTGTTGCTTTTCTTCCATAAAATTCTAAAAACTGTGCAAAAGTGGTTGCAATAAGTACCCTCTGAATAACAAGATATAAAAATAATTACTACTTTGAATAATTTTGTTTATATTTCCAATTTTCCTAACTTGTTTAGATTACCAACTTTCATTCATAAGGCATTTTCTCCCTCCTTTCAGTATGCCTTCGTGGTGTAACGGTAGCACATTTGGCGCATATTCAAGAGATTCTGGAGAAGGAATTTCTCATTTTTCATTTCTCCTGCTTCAAAAAACCCATGACTCAAGAGCGGTGCCTGAAAAGGTGCTGAATAATAATTTGTCACCACCAGGATTTGGTGATTGCGTTCCCCAATTCCCAGTAGCTCTTTAAAATGGAGAGTATATAAGGCATTTCTCTCTCCTTTCAACATATGTGGTATAATGGTAGCACAATCAGCACATATTCAAGAGGTCCAGGTTTGAGTCCCAGGGAGAGCACTGCTCATTTTTCATGTCTGCTGCTTCAAAAAAACTTAATGACTCTATTCCAAATGTACAGTAAGTCTTAGGCCAAGTTATCTTTAGCTCACATAAACAAAAATCAAACACAGAACAATGTAAAAATGATTAGTGTAGGTATTATAATAATAACAGAACTTACCAGCAGCTTTTGAATTTTCAGGTACAATAATTCGTCTTCCAAAAAAATCTAACATGGGCTAGAAAGAATTAAATGCTTTATTGTAAAAAAGTAAAGCAAATAACACATTATCAAAATAATTATAATAAAATTGTAACTATACATGTAAAATAAAACAGCTTTCTTTATTACATTACCCATGCCTTTTATACGAACATACCTTCACATGCTTTTCCAAAATTGTACACATTTTTCATTGGTTCAGAAATTTAGAATAAAATTTAAAACCATAAATTTTAGAAAACAACAAGGGTTAAATAATAAGGTTCCAGTTTAACATGTGAGCTGATATAAATTTGTATTCTTACAATGTGAAATATGAGAGTCAATCAAAAAATTGACTTTTTAATAATGATAAATTCTATATTCAAATGATATGCAAACCCCCCCCCAAAAAAATTAAGCTGGATTTTCAACAACTAGAAACAGATACTAGCTAACCCTTCAAATATATTTAGCTAACCCTTCAAATATATTAACTGCTTGGACTTAAGTTTTTGCTCTACTTCTATTACAATATTTGGCCTTTTCCTACTTATTTTTATCACTTTTTTTTTTCTTACTTCATTACTTATTAAGTGATGTAGCACAGCAGAAGAGGAGGTTGCCCCCCTTTCTGATGAAGAGATGCTTTAGCTAAATCTTTTCAAAATGTGAAGATTTCTACAAAATTAATGACAGTTAGTTGATATGTTTCCTATTACAAATAAGTAATTATTTTGTATATATTGTAATATATGCATAACTGTGTAAGTGGATAGTTACACATTAAAAGCTACAAAACATTTATGCTTTGTAGCAACAACACATAAAATAGTTAGATGTCTTTTTATTTTCAAGCCTTCCCACACATTTTGGCTAATTTATATCAATTTCCTTCTCTTTAAGCCCTTTTTATAACAATTAGAAACTTCTTTCAATACACAAACCTCTGTTCCCACTAGTTTATGCATGCGTTATGTCCTAACTTGTCCATCTCTTGATAATGTACTTATGAGGTTTCACTTGATCTGGTGAGAGTTAAATAATCCAAAACTCCAGACAGATGTGAAGCAAATTATCTTTATGTCTGAAAGTAACTACAAAGTCAGATAAAGATTTTAATAAGCCTCTTATTTAAAAAGAACTTAGGACATAAAGGCATGTTTTTATCCTAACAAAATGAGCTACAGCTCATGGTGACATAATTAAACAGAAACAGCCAAATTCAAACTAAAAATGCGGACTAGCTGTCAAAGACTACACAATTTAACTTTAGTCTATGCTGGTTCAGAAACTCTATCATTGTAACAAATTCAAATGTAGGCAGCGATAATGCAAAGATGAATAACTACAAATTATCAGAGATGGCAGGAACTAATGCTGCATGCAAGCAGAGTCAGAAACATACTCTGTTTTATAATCCAAAAAGTCAGTTTAAAGACTATCTACCAGATTTGCATTCAGAGGAAACAGAAAGGGGAAGTTATAGTAAAGGCTGAAATTATAAACAACTGCTGAATTTACATAATAATAATTGTGCATATCTTTGAAGAATAATTTTCCTTCTCTTTATGCATTCAGTTTCTGTCTTCAATACATTTACTCTTCATTTCAGATTTTTTGCTTTTAATTAAAGATTTCTGTTATTCTAAAAAACTAAATATATTTTGCATAAAAAAGCTGCTAACTTTATTTCTTTAGTAATTTGAACATTCAGAATAAATATGAAATGATATGTGGTAAGGGCCAGTTAAAGAACCGGCATGGCAGAATTTTTAAAATATATTAATAACACACCAAGCAACAAAATCTAGAAATGGCAAAACTTTAAGAATTTAAGACAGGTACTAGGAGTAGAATTTAGGAAGGCACTAGGCAGCGAAATTTAAGATCCAGATATTTCGTCAGGTGAGAAAATGCCTAGCGCCAGGCTTATGTATAATGTATTGAGACATATATGATGAATATTTTAAATTGTCAGTTTTCAATTTCTTTATTAATAAAAAATTCCTCTCTATAAATATCTATCTATATGATAATATTAGAAACATTTATGACATTTTCCATGCTAGTGTCTAGTGAAAAATAAAGGGAAGATACACATGTCAAGAAAAAGGCCTCTAGTATCAGAAATAAAACATTTGAATATTATGTTTTCATTGGTCTTCCAAAAATTCTTCAAAATTCACTCCAAACTTTCTGTAAAGTACATCCATTATATGTTAATACCATGATGACATTTCTCATTCTGTCACATTTTTCTGGAATCTTTTAGAATCATGGGTCTATAAATCTTCCCTTCAAAGCCTTTTTAACTTTGAACAAGTTGCAATGTCGAAAATTATAAAGGAAAATTACCCCTACCAATTCCCTAACAACAAAAAGGCAGAAATATTTTGAAAAAAAAAAAAAAGAAAAAAAAGAAAAAAAAAGAAAAAAAAGAAATATCAGAAGAAAAGAGTGTAAAATGAATTTTATAGAGAAAACTGATGTATATTCTGAGACAATTACATGGGAAAAACTCTTACCATGAAAAAAACTTAAGACATTTTTAATTAATTACATAGGTATTTTGCTTTTGCTAAAATTTTTTTCTTAAACTGTGTTTTATAGCATTTATTGATTTGTTTATTTTTCAGACTCAAAATATTGTATAATGAGTCCCCCAAAAAAGTAATGTCACATTATAATATGACAGAAATAAAAAAAGATTTATTTTGAATGTTATTTCTTAAATATAATTTCTATATATTACCATTATTTTAATGAAATTTATCAATGTTATATAATGTTTTTTAAAAAAAATCAAAAAATTCCCAGATCTCCAAATTAAAAATTTTCTACAAAAACTAATGTTGAATTCACCAAAATGCTGATAAGTCTCCAAAGTTAGAACCTTCTAATAAAAGAATTCACATTCCCCAAAAGTGAAAAGTTGTTTACTATCTATACTTGTCTTTGATGTTTAACCTTCCAGCACGCGCGTATGCACAAAATTTATGACAAATTCAGTTTTTAATGCACATTTTTCACATATCGAAGCCGAGACGTATGTAGGTTATTTCTATTCCTCCTTTCTACCCTTCCCCACATCATGGATTGTGCCAACAGGAAGTCATTTGATTTTTTTTGGGGGGGGGGGCTTTTGTGCTATGTGGCAGCATTTTCATAAAATTTATGGCACACGCGTGGCCCTGTTTTAAAATTCGGAATTTTTTCCCCCACAAATATTTTGTAATTTTGTGTTCTTAACTACCGTGTATTATTTTAATTTGAATAAATTTGGCTCTATAAATTTTATATCGGTTTTCATGGCAAAAAAATATGTGCAACCAGCTGATTTTCCTCGGATTTTTTAAGAATTATCTTAATGAAGAAAAGGAAACCTTTGGATGGGAGAACAATAGCGATTTCCATTCCTTATTTTATTTTATTTCTACTTTTTAGAAATAAATAAAAGCATTAAAGTTAGTTTAAAGCGCGTTTCTGTAACCAGTAAGAAGTAAATTTCCTTGCAGAAGTAAGTAATGCTAAACTTACTTTTTTTCTTACTAAGGTGTTTTCTTTTTTGACTGTCTATACTTGTCTTTGATGAATATTAAAATTAGCTTCGATTTTAAAATATAATTATTAAATAATAAATTTAAAATTTTCTATAATGAAATACATCACTACAGAAAATTTTCATCTCACTGACATAAGAACTTAAAAATAATTTACTTATATTTGAATGTGATATCATTTGTATTTTGCAATAAGAAGATTAATATTTTATTTCTTAACAAATTTATTTTCAATATTCACTCATTTCTGTCGTTTTTCATGCCAAAAACGGTAAAATAACGGATGTCGTAAAAAATATGACGCACGCATGCTCATGTGAAATTGCCAAGCGTGCATGCTGGAAGGTTAAGAGTTTTTCATTAGAAAAAATCTGATGTCTACACCACATGACTTCCAATAAATGCACTCTTTAAAATTCACTGTATTTTTTAACCATAGCGACACTCTGCCGCTAGGTTCACTTAACAGTATTATATTTCGTTCATATTATAACTCAGAATGCACAAAATTTATATCATTTGAAGAATTATCTAATCACTGCCACATGTTCTATTCAAATACTATAATAAAGCTAGAATGATATATAAAAGAAATTAAGCAAACAAAACAAAAAGGAAACAGTTTTTCACAGATGATTTAGTATTTCTCATTCAATTAATTTAGTTCTTACTTCGCGGCAAGGCAAAAATACATAAAAACTCAAAACATCTGCATTAAAAATTACGAAGTAAATCTTAAACAGTTATTTCCTCGAAAAAATTCCAGAAAGGATTAAGCATGATTTAATTCCCAATAACAAATGAAGCCGTTATCTTTGTTGTTGCGAAGCTTAGTCTCTCTAGATTGGCAACAAATCTACTATTCTGTTGTTTCAAATGTAAACAAATATGTCTGCCATGTTATTTAAAACTTAAGGCTTAACCGCACTTAAATAGCTTTTAAATTGTTCATAATTGTACAAATATTGCTTCCAGATTTACGAAAGGCATAAAAACCTTAACCAGAACATAATTCAATCATTAGATAAAAACAACATAATTCAATCATTTTTAAAGCAAAAAATGCACAATTTACAAACATATAAGAGTAAAGAAACTGAGATCACTGAGCCGGGTAACAGAGTGGATATATATATAAATATATTTATATACGTTTAGTGCAGCCGATTGCAACCAAAATACGAGGTACACATCTACATGTTATAGCAGTCCTATATACAAAATTTCAACGTTCTGAAGCTACTCGTTTTTGAACTATGCGACATACGTTCGTACAGATGCCACGAAAAATTCTCTTCAGAATTCATTTTAAAGCAGTTCTATACTTTTTTTGGAGGAAAAAAGTCTTTTATTCTGTCCTTACGTACAGATGTCACACAAAAACATCGTTAAATTGCATTCGATAGCGGTCAAAATGGATATTTTCGTTGAAATATGCCGCCTGAAATTTTTCGCGATCACAATATTTCCTTTTTACTTTGAACAAGGAAGTAAAAATAAAATAATTTCAAAAATGCTTATGTTTCACTTCTTTCCCTGAAACTCGAGTATCCCACTGTTTATATTAGAAACAGGAACAAATTATAACCCATGAACCCATTCAAATGATAACCACATTTGTCAGTGAATCAGCAAAAATATTCCTACAAAATGCTAATTCACATTTAAAATTGCAGTCTTTAAAACAGACATAAATTTCAGAAGCTTAAATTAAGGACCTTCTGCCGATTTTGGCTGAAATTAAGGACTTTTAAGGAGCAAAATTTGATTCCATAAAATCTAAGGATTTTTCAGGACCATATGAACCCTGAGTTTAATTAATGCAAGCATTTTAACAAAAGACTTAAAATTCTTGATAAAAGGTTTTTCTATATAAAAGTAAATACATAAATAAAAATATGTTTCAATAGTGCTTTTTCCAAAATAATAAATTTTAATTATATTTTAAAGTGTCTTGAATGTAAATGTCTCTGAATATTTTCAAAAAGAGTATGCCAAATTGGAATCAAAATAAATAACATTTTTTATAAAATTCAATCTTTTGCATCTTATACAGTAGAAAGTCCGTAATCCGGACGTCCATTATCCGGAATGATCTATAATCCGGACCTCAAAGCCACAATTTTTTTTTTTGTATGCTTTATGCCTGTGTTGATGCGTTTACGCATGCATTGCGTTAATGCGCGTTGGGAGGATGTGTCTCCAGATACATTAAAAAATGCTTGGCATAATTTATAGCCAGCTACCATATTTCATGGTAAGGACGATGAAGATGATAGAAAGCGAATTTGAAGGTTTTCGGACATCGCAAACTACAGGTGAAATTTTCCAGTTATTGGATTTTCTAAACAAATGTGGAGAAGCGATAATAAATGAAGATGATATAACAGGAGTTTTTCATTGCGACGACATTGCCTCAATCAGTAATCAATTAACGGACGGCAAAATCTGTAGTATGTTTCTAGATCCAGAAAATACCACTTGCGATAGTGAAGAAAGTGACAGAGAGGTTAGTGAAAACGAAAAAAATTTCGATTGACAAGTTAGTCAGTACTCTCGACACAGCAATTACAGGACTTGAACGGGTGAAACTTTGTAACTGAACAAGAAATTATGTCTGTTTCTAGAATTAAAGAGAAAGTTTAGCACAAAAAACAAAGCAACTTAAACAACTTACATTGAAAGAAATGTTTAATAAAGTAAACAAATAAATATTAAGCTTTATTTTTGTAAATTTTGATACCTCTTAGATCATAATTGCTCTTTATTTTATAAATTACGGTTTCATATTTTTAGTTGTATAATTTCTGCATGCCATCTTACCAGATTTAAATTTATGATCTATAATCCGGAAAAACCCCTAATCCGGAATCGACGACGAGTCCGGATTATGGGCTTTGTACTGTATATATATATAATTACAAAACAATTCTCTTGAAAACAAAATATAAACATGCTTAGTATTTTCACACATTAATCTGCAGAAAAATTATCATTAAAGACATAAAGTAAGAAATTTAGAACTAATATTTCACAAAGCCAAAAATTGAAATTCCATATATATATCTTATTTATTAGAATCAAACTAATCATTAATTGCCTTACTTTTTCAGCTTCAATTTCCTTTTTTTGTGCAGTTTTTGGTTCAAGAATTCTCTTAGTATCACTCTCCTTTTTAACTTTTTCCTCTTTCACATCAGTTGCATTATCACCTTTCCTCATTTGTTCCATCTCAACCTATTATGAAATGAAAAATTTCAATTAATTCTGCAATCAACAGTTTGAGATATTAACTAGTGTAAAAAAAAATTACCTCTCTCGCAATCATTTGTTTCGCAGAATATGTAAGCATTCTTTTCGGTTTCAAATTGCCTAATTTTATTAGCTCCTCAATATTCCTGTAATTAATACCATTATAATATAGTAAAAAGAATATTAAAATACAACAGCTATTATAGCTTATAACAAACATTTTATTTTAATACTTTTATCACATAAGTTAGATATACAATGAATGGCCAAAACAATAGACACCTATACTTAAAACTACAGTGAAATATGTTTAACGCGAAAACGCTTAAGACGAAATATCGCTTAACAAAAAATAATATAACAGTCCCGACAAACTACTATATATTTTCATGCATTTTGTTTCTCCTAACACGAAACAAAAATCGCTTAACACGAAAAGATATCCTCTCTGGGAATGAAGAAATATGAAAAACATCGGCTTTGCAGGTGAGATTTAAGAGGGGTGTGAAGTGCAAGAGAGATGGTTTCACATGTTTCTTAGGAGGCTAACTTGGCTTTCAAATATACTCGGAGTAGCCTGTGATACGAGCCAGTTTTGTTTATCTGAGCTACTTTCACCTTCCACCCCTACAAAGTGACACAGACTTCTCAGCTTTCATCAGTTGGCTTTGGAATTTGGTGATAAGTACATCGCAGCATGAGTAAAAATCAATGAGTTTTATTCATATGCTGCACTCAGCATGTCTCCGTCTCTTCATATGCTGCACTCTGCATGGAATTCAGTGACTCCAAGGATGAATGAAAATTGTTTTCGTCATGCACGATTCAAAAAAGTATGAGATTCTTTCGCACCAAAAGAAATGGAGCAGGAGGATATTGAAACTGAGCCGACACTTAATGAAACGCTTGAGAAAGTTTCCATATTATTGGACAGTCCTATTGTATTATCGGAAGCATTAGTTGCGGTAGTAGATGATAATGTGTGTATAACCCCAATTATGGCAAAGACATTTTGGAGTTTATTCAAAGCTCAAAATATATCATTGATGCAGATTCCAAGGACAAAAATGAAATGAATAATGCAGCTCCTGTTCCCATGTCATCCGAAATGAGGAACAGCATGAAAAGTATGCACAGTTATTTAGATGCACATTCCAATGGTGAAATGAATAACAAAAGGGATGGCATTGAACAATTTGATGCTAAAAAGACAATGCAAAGAAAAATATCAGATTATTTTCGAAAACCTCAATAAACGTTTTGTTTTTCAAAAAAGTTTGTTTTTTAAGTTCTTGTGGATGTTTTTGTTTCAATAATTTTTATTAAATAGTACATGCATATATACATATCTATGTAAACAAATGTACTCTAATAAACTTAATTTTGTTAAATATATGTTTTTTTTTTTTTTTTCCAATACCCTTTAACATGAAAAAAAATTTCAGTACCCTTGGTTTCGTGTTAAACGATTTTCACTGTATTTCAATCCCATACCAGAATGAATAATGTGCTTTCATATATTAAATCATTAATAAAGAGGATTTGCAATGCAATTGAAACCAGTGTTGAGAAGTGTGCCATATTTGTTGCTGATGACATCTTAAAGCAGGCATTGGCAACCTTTTTTGAGGCTACGGGTCAAAATAAACCAAAATGTATGTATTAAGGAGAAGTTTCAGGTCAATGGTATTTTCATTTTAAAACAGCCATTTTGGTGAATAATAAGATACATTTTATTGAGAAAATAATTACAATACACTTTAAATATTAAAATTATAAATTTAATTATTACCTAAACAAACATAATTAAATAAACTTTATTCTCTTCAATATCAATAGCTTCCCCGATGCTGAAATTGTGATGTTAATTTATTCAAGTCAGGCCTATACGTACTTGGTCATCTTTAGATGATTACTAATACCTGAATTTTCAATAGTTAAGCTGCTCCTGTTCATGCTTAAAATAAATTTTATATGCAAAGATATTTGTTCACATTTATAACTTGAACTGAATGCAGACAAAATGGCAAAGCCAATTTTTTTCAGAGATGAAAAATTTCTAGGAAGTGAATCCCAGCTCTTTGATATCATGAAAAGATCATATTTTTTTCCTTTTCACAAAGGATAGGCTTGAAATTCTTTCTTTTTTATATCTGTTTTAAGTAATATTAATTTCAAAGAAAAATTCTTCATCCATATGCCTCTTACATTTTCAAAATTGTGCAGTTATTTCCTTAGAGTTGCAAGATGAAATCATTATAACGGTTCATTATGTCTGTTAAGAACAAATGTCTTAAAAACAGTTCTTTATCATTTAGTCCGAGATCATGTTCAACAAATTTGTAAAGAAATATTTCTATCTCATCAAAACACTCTAGAAATCTATTAAGAACTTTACCTTGATCTTAAACATTGTATTTTTGAATATTATAGCAAATTTTCATAGTTCAATTTAGTTTCTGCCAAGAAGGCTTTGAAGTGCCTGCATACTAATATTGATTGTGCTACTAATCATGTTTATGATCTTAGCAACTTTTTCCATTAACACCATTAAGTTGTTGTGTTAGATGTGTTCGTAAAAACCTTTCCTTCATGTATGATGCAATGAACAATATGTGAGAAGCTAAGTAAGTTCATTTTCCATCAGTTTAAAAAATCTAGCAGTTTTTCTTCTCAGCTAGAACACCATCAGTTTCTATAGAAAATACTTTACTTTTAATCCAACATCTGCCCACTTTTGGAATTGGTACTCTTTTGTGCTTGGCAAAAAATATCAGTGTCTTTGGTCATGTCATTCACAGAAACAGACTGCAAAATGCTTTCATCAAGTGCAATGCTAATTACGTCACTAGATAATAAATCATTTTCTACCTGTTCATCAATATTTTCTGCCATATCTACAATGTAACGCTGAACCGTTCTAGCTGACAACCTGAACTGACTGAGTTATTAAATTCTCTAAATATATTTTTTACTTGCATAAAGTCATTAAATAAGTGTTCAGTACAAATTATGAATACATTTTTTTGAAAAATTTGCCATCTGTAAATGGTTTTCCATTGGTATCAATGGTATGAACTGCAACAAAGCTTTCAATATAGCATATTACAGCTCAAAACAAAACTCTTTAACAATTTATTTTGTTTTCCCAAAACTTAATACACATTTAAAAATGCATTAAGATTTTTTTTTTTTTTTCAAATGGTACAATTTTTTTCAATTTCACTCACATTTTTATGATTTTAACAAAAGTGTCACTCAGTATCATAATTTCTGGGGGTTAATTACATCTGGCATCTGTGCAAAGTACATATCAATTTGTCCCCATTTTCAATACATCCATACTTTTCTTCTACACATCTTGAAATAATCTCTTTTTTTATTTTTTACTTGTCCATGTAATAATTTATTTTAAATATTGATAAGTATTTCACTGCATAACTATACTTGCAACATTATTCTTACATTACTGAACAAGTGATAAACCTGAAAGTGGACTGGGAGAATGACACCACTATTGTGAAATGTTTGTCAAGGAATTACGAATTGCCATTGCCAAAACTTATAGATTTCTCTTTTAAATTATGTTACAAATTTTATTTTTTGAAAATAAAAATGCATGTTCATTATTGCAACCTTATAATCAAACAAAAATGTTGTTATTTATTTTCAGTTTATATTTTATGTATTCTTCAAGTGAATATAAAAATATGAAAAATATTTATGTTTTACAATTTATATGTATATAATACACATAATTTTCGGAACTCAAGCAGGCCATTTGAAATTATGAAATGGGTCACTCAGTGACTCATGGGTCATAGGTTGCAAGGCCTGTCCTAAATATTAGTCTTGTGTTCATATGTCTGATGATACACTCAACAGCATCCAGGTGAATTTCAATAATGGTTAAAGTATTTCAATCTTCCAAGTCGCCAAGTTGTATACATACATTTAAAAATATTTGTCATGCAACCTTTGACATGCACCTTCAACTGTGTCCAGATAATTAGAATAGTATATATATATATATGTAGTAGGGGAGTTGAAGATGCTAAATAACAATTCCAACATTTTCCACACCACAGAACATTTAATAAGAAAAAATCAGTAGAAGCTACAGATTGAATTAAATACAAGTGCTGTTCGACATAAACAAGATTCTGAAAAGCTTTTGCCAATTTTATAACATAGTATCTTAGTGCCTACTTGCACTTGCTGTCGTATTATGCAGTTCAATTTACCACCTGCTCGTGGAAGCATACAGTTCATTATTTTTCCAGAGACATCTTACCACCTTCGCATGGGATTGAAGACTCTCTACATATGTCATACTCCTCTTTCACCTCGCTATTATTGCTGGTGCATAGGTGAGGCCCTCTGGTGATAATGTTGCACTTACGGATACCACACATATATATTGAAAGAAAAAAGTCAAGATATAAAGTAATATGGACATTTTGGAAGAATAATGTTGTGTAAGGAAAAAAAGGTGTGCAGATAAAAAATAAGAAATTCTTAAATACCTTAATAATTACTTCACACATTTCTAAAATACCAAATTTTTAATATTATTTCTTAATTTACACTGCGAAAAAAAAGGGAGGGACAGTTCTATATCTCCCATTCTACTGGGCTGATTGACGAAATTTAAACTGCGTTTTTCATGTCTCGAAAGCCCGACTTAGGATATATATTAGCTTTATATATAGCACTATTCTAACATAGGTATTTTGACACAAAATCGGACTTTTTCTGAAATGACATAGCAATTTTTTTTCTATATTTCGATTCTACGACTCAAATTATGCCAGAATGCCAAGTTTTGTAAAAATCACACGAGTAGATTTTAAAATATTAGCTCTCAAAATTTTAGTTCCTCAATGTTAATTGAATTTGGCAAATATTTATTAATATCTCTTTTTTAATTAAACATTTTTTATTTTTCCTTTCACATTTCGAAATTTAGGTTCCTTCCAAATAAAATTTACTCATTTTTTGTGTTTTATATTTAAATTTCTATTTTTAAATAATTTTTATAAATTTTTCGAAAAAAATTTTGAATTATAACCTATAAAATTTTTACCATCATCTTAATGTAGGTGTAGTTCGAAGCATACCTGCAAAAAATTAGACTTTTTTTATT